CTGCACCTAGTAAAAGAGCTTCAAAATACATGAGGCAAAAACTACAAGGTGATAGAGGAGACAGACCTGCAAACAGAAGTGAAAAAATCCACAATTATGATCACAGATTTCAATACCCCTCTCTCAATAATTGACAGAACAATCAAACAGAAAACCAGCAAAGATATAGTAGACTTGGACAACACTATCAACCAACTTGATCTAACTGGCATTTATAGAGCATTTCACCTGACAATAGCAGAATGCACATCCTTTTCAAGTGCACATGGAACATTTATCAAGATAGACCTTTTTCTGGGCCATAAAACAAGTCTGAATAAATTTAAAAGGATTCAAGTCATGAGGAGTATATTCTCTAACCCCAACGAAATTAAATTAGAAATCAGTAACAAAAAGATATTTGGAAAATCACCAAATATTTGGAAACTACCTAACAAACTTCTAGTTAACCCATGAGTCAAAAAAAGACAGCAAAAAGGTTACTGGAAAGTTTTTTGAATTAAAGTACAACATATCAGAATTTATAGGATGCTACTAAAGCAGTACTTAGGGGTAAATTTATAACTAAAATGCCTATCTCAGAAAAGAAAAAAGGTCCCAAATCAATACACTCAGTTTATACCTTAAGAAACTACGAAAAGGTGAGCAAATTAAACCCAAAGTAAGCAGAAAAAAGGAAATGACACAGATAAAATCATAAGTTAATAAAATAGAAAACAAAAACAATAGAGAAAAGCAATGAAACCAAAATCTAGTTATTTGAGAAGATCGAGAAAACTGATAAACCTCTAGCCAGACTGATCAGCAAAAAGAGTGAGAAGACACAAATTACCAGTATCAGGAATGAGAGAAGTGAAGTCACTCCAGATTCTATAAGTATTAAAATAAAGAAATGTTATCAACAACTTTATGCCAATAATTTTGACAATTTAGATGAAATGGACAAATTCCTTGAAAGACACAAACTACCAAAGCTCACTCAAGAAGAAACAGATAACCTGACTAGCCCTATATCTATTAAAGAAAACGAATTCATAGCTTAAAACCCTCCAACAAAGAAAACTCCATGCCCAGATGGCTTCACTAGTGAATTCTACCAAACAATCAAGGAATAATACTGATTCTATACAAATCCTTCCAGAGAACTGAAGAGGGAATTCTTTCCAGTTCATTATCTGAGGCCAGCATCATCCTGATACCAAAACCAGACGAAGACATTATGACAAAAGAAAACTACTAACCAATATCCATCATTACAATAGATGCAAAAATTCTAAACAAAATGTTAGCAAATTTAATCCAACAATATACAATAATATGTCAAGACCAAATGGGCTTTATTCCAGGAATGTAGGGTTGGTTTAATATTTGAAAATCTATCAGTGTAATTCACTGTATTAATAAACTAAAAAATAAGAATCTTATGATTATCTCAATAGATGCAAAGAGAATCTGACAAAATTCAACATCTATTCCTGATAAAAACTTTCAGAGAACTGGTACTAGAAGAAAACTTACTCAAGCTGGTGGTTAACGGCATCTGTGTAAAACCTACAACTAACATGATTCTTAATGATGAAAGATTGAATGCTTCCCTTAAGATCAGGAACAAGACAATATGTATGCTCTCACCACTTATATTCAGCATGGTACAGGAAGTTCTGGTCAGTAGAAAATAAGGCAAGAAAAAGAAATAAAAAGAATCCATATTGGAAAAGAATCCATATTGGAAAAGAATCACAGCAACACACAAGCCACCACAGTACGACAAACTGACAGACAAATGATGGAAAGAAGCTATGCCACTGGTATTTTAAGAGGGTCACTCACGGTGGACAGGTTTCAGTGGAGCTTCCAGACTAAGATAGACTAGGAAGAAAGGACTGGCAATCTACTTTGGAAAATCAGCAATTAAAACCCTACTGATCACAGAATTGTCCAAGATTTTGACTTGCTTACTTTCGCCATATCATCAGGCCATGTCATCAGGAGGATCACTGGAGTAGGACACAATGGCCACAACGTTGGACACAAACATACCAATGGTCATGAAGATGGCACAGGACCAGGAAATGCTTCATTCTGTTCTACATCGGGTCACCGTGAGTCAGACTTGACTCAACGGCAACTAACAACAAGTGTACACAGAGATGAATTAGAGGGTGAACACCAAAACGGTAATGATGGTTATCTCAGTGAGGTTTCAGGTGCCTTTTATTTTCTTATTCATATTTTTATAAACTTTTGAAATTCTTTAGAATTATCATATGTTATTTATATAATAAAGTAATTTTAAGTATGGTAAAATAGACTGTATATTTAAAAAATTAAAGGGCAAAAGAAATTGAAGAAAGAAAAACTCAACATTTTACAAAAGGTTCATTTCTATTATTTAAAGAGCTCTTCCATATCGATAGGGAAAAATAAACATCTTTCAGAAAAATGGACAAATGACATGAACAGGCAATTCAGAGAAGAATGATTTTTTTACGTGGTCAATCTCACTTAGTTTTCAAAGAAGTGAAAATTAAAAAGAGATGCCAAAACAACCAAGTTATCAGATAGTAAACAAAGTGAAAACACTTCCAATTGGCCAGGAGGCAGGAAAACAAGCATTTCACACACTATTTGGTGGGAATGTAAAACGATTTTTTTTTTTTCTGGAGGACAATTTGACAATGTGTATCAAAAACCTTAAAAATATACATACCCTTTGACTCAGAAATTTCATTTCTAGGATTTTATGCTATGAAAATCATCAGAAAAATGTACCAAAAGTTACATACGATATGTTTTTTGTATCTCAATACAAAGTAATGAAAACTGAAAACCATCTAACAGACCACCAACAAGGACGCCATTAGGTAGGAGCCATCGCAACTGTTAAAATGACGTCGACTTCCAGCAAAAACGCTGAATGCACACATTGGGTTTACACCTCCTCCTTCCAAAAATTCAGTGGAAACTGTAGAAGAATAAATAAGTAAAATTTGAGCATCACTGAAAGCTAGGAGGAGTGATACCTGCAAACCAGAACCAATGAAATTTCTGGAACAGAATAAAGCACAGCAAAAGGTTAATCTGGAAACCCTATAGAAGATAGGAACTTATAACTCCATACACGCAAAAGCAAGGATTTCCGTAAAAAGTGAGTTTTCCTGGGGGAGTCCCTAAATAACTCCTCGAACAGAAGCAGCATCAACTAAGAGAAAGGGGGTTGCAGGCGGAGTAGCTGAGGAATGAGCAGAAGGATGGTGGAACCCAGCACCTGCTTTCAAACGAGGTAGTCTGGGATTAGTCAGCAGCATAAGGGCCATAGAAGAGCTCTCTAAAGTGGGATGTCAGAATGAGACACTCCTGGAGTGGCTGCGAGGCCAGAGAGACAGCCAGTGCCCAGAGAGCGGGCTCCTGGCACCTGAAAGGCCACGGCTTCCTGCACACACTGGGGCAAAGCCTGCCCAGCCTCAGTGCCTCTTCGTCTTCTTCACGCAGTGGGCACCTGGGGTAGGTCCAATAAGTTCCTCTTCTGCCCCACTGGCTGGGTATCTCTACATGCAAACACACGGATAAAGGCATGTGAAGATACATGCCACACTATTAACAGAGGTTACCCAGGGGGTAGACAGACATTACGAAGGGAAGGGAAAGGGGATTCACATTTTTTATTCTTCAAACTTCTGCCTTCCTTCAATTTCTTTACAATGAACACATGTTTATATTTACACAGTTATAAATTTATTATACGGAGCCCTGGTAGTGCAGTGGTTAAGAGCCATGGCTGCTAACCAAAAGGCCAGCAGTTCGAATCTACCAGCAGCTCCTTGGAAACCCTATGGGGCAGTTCTACTCTGTCCTACAGGGTTGCTATGGATCGGAATCAACTCAATGGCAAGCAGGCTTTTTTTCTTTTTAATATGATATATAGTGTATATTTAAATAACATTTACATCTAACTATAGATTCAGGTTGATACTCATTGATGTATAATGATATCAAGAAGGAGCCCTGGTGGCGCAACGGTTAAGCACTCAGCTGTGAACCTAAAGGTTGGGCGTTCCAACCCACCCAGCAGCTGCTCGGGAGAAAAGACCTGGCGATCTGCTCCCATAAAGATTACAGTTTGGAAAACTCCATGGGGCAGTTCTACTCTGTCACATGGGGTCGCTTTGAGTGGGAATTGACTTGACAGCACCCAACAACAACATCAAGACATTAAATGAAATTAAAAAAGCATAACACAAAGTGGTATGGTTTCATTTCTGTAGAAAAATAGTATTTTATAAATACATGTACACAGCCAAATGTGTGGAAGGACAGACACCAAATGTTAACCACAATTAGTTCTGCATGGTGGAACAACCAAACCTGTACCCAAACCCATTGTCGTCGAGTTGATTCTGACTCATAGTGACCCTATAGGACAGAGTAGAACTGACCCCTAGAGTTTCCATGGCTGAAGCAGACTGCCACATCTTTCTCCCACGGAGCAGCTGGTGGGTTTGAACCGCCGACCTTTTGGTTAGTGGCGAAACGCTTTAACCACTGCACCACCAGGGCTCCTTAGCGATAGTCTTACACACACACACACACAAAGTGGAGTTGCTCATCAGAGCATAAGAGACTTCAATACATTTCGGGAAGTCAGAAGCCACTTATCCAGTATAACCTGAGAACAAAGAGCAGGCAGTGGGAAGGGAGTCCCTGCTGCCCTCGGCACTGGGGCACGTGGTTTTCTGGACATGAAGACCCCCTTGCTTACTCACATGCTTCATGAGAGTAGGACTCATACGCCTTCTTCCCCCACTATGTTCTTAGAACGTAGTGGGTGCTACATAAATATTGGCTGAATGAGAAACAGAATAAAGCACAATTTATCAGCATGGCGTCCCCTCTTATGAATGGAAATCTTCATGTTCTAAGTGCCCAGGCAAACACACATCTAAACAACACTTCAACTAGAGGCAAGGAAACTGGCATTTAACAAAAAGCAGCTCACTTACAGGATGCTTGGCTGAAAGTCTTCCAGTCACAGTTCCAGTTTGGTTCCATGTAGAGGAAATGAAGCCCTTTATCAGTTAAAAAGAAGCGTTTCAAACTCTGAACGACGCTGTGCTAAATCAAGAGCATGTTGGGCCCCTTCGTTTCTTCACCAACAATATACAACACTCACTGCCCTCCTCCAGCAGACAAAACGCTGCTAGTCCTAAACTCCCACCGCTGGACTGGCTTTGGGGACTAACAAACTGTAAGATGTGATCTGGGGTGGGGGAAGAAGCAAGTGTTTCCCTAGGCCATGTGGCAACTGCAATGAGGCTACGTAGGTCTTCATGTCACTATGCACGGGGAGGGAAGTGGCTGAGGGACGGTGGGAGGAACATGGGGGGATCCCTGTGGGACTGGAGTCCAAAGGCAGGTTAGGTCACTTACTACGTGACTTCAACAAGTCACAGAGCATCTCTGACTGTAGCTTCCTCATCTAAGGAATAAAGCAATGACATCTGACTTGGCTTCTGCAAATGACTCCACAGAAAAAATACAAATAATAGGTGGGCAAGCACATGATCAGCTGTACAGCTTCCAGGGAAATGTAAGGTTTTAAGTTATAATGTCAAATTATGCTGTACAGAGACCTGATGGATAACAAAATCAAGGTTTCTAGTTCCAAGAATATTAGACGATTTCATCACTTACTAAAAAATTTAAAAATTATACATGTATCTGAATTCATATATAAACCTTACTATTACTCACAGTTATCTATTTTATTGTAGCTTCAGTTACCTTTTTCATGCAAGCTAGCAATCCATCTACAAAGGTTGACTTGATCTTGTGAACCTAAATTACAAAAAGAAGAGAAATCATTTTCTTTTCTTTTTTTAAGTACTGAAATTGGAACAAGCTTCAGAGCAGTGTTTCATAGGGCAGGGGCCTCTGATGTCACCTGAGATGACTCCAAGAGGCCCTGAAATGATCTTAGGTGGTACCCAGAATTAATAACCGACCTAGAGGGGAAGACAGCACTCTCACTTTAAATAAATGTTGTATTTGAGAACAATTCGGATTTACAGAAAAGTTGCAAAGGTAAGTAGAGAGTTCCTGGATCCTCCTCACCCAGTGTCTCCCGCGGGTATCCCCTCTTAGTTCTCTTTCAGTCCTTACATGACTTCAGGGAGAAAGGATCAATGTGGTACCAGCTGCTCCAGACCAGCTGCGTAGCCCAAACAAAGAAGAGCAGGCCAGGGGCTCAGTAAATACTAGCACCAACGCTACGGGTGGTGGCAAAAGCTATAAACGCAGCCCAGGAACACCAGAGAACTCCTGCAGTCAGCGGCAGGTATGTGATAGGGAAAACATGAGTGGCTAGAGGAGGAAAGGGAAACCTGTCAACAAATCGCCGCTCACTTTTCATGCCAGGTGATAAAACACAGCCATGGAGTAATACAGCCAGGCCCGAACTGAGAAGAGGAAGGAGCAGGTGTTCTTAAGCAACCTCTTTTTTTTCTTTTTTCTTTTTAAAGCAGCTTCTAAACTGGATACTGATGGAAGTAATATTTGCACTGAAGTCACACAATAATAACATGTCAAGTGTTTCCTCTGAATTTTCATTAGCTTCCCATTTGTTGTTCTTTGCCATGGAGTACATTCTGACTTGTAGCTACCCTATAGGATAGAGTAGAACTGCCCCATAGGGTTTCTTAGGCTGTAATCTTTATGGAGGGAGCCCTAGTCGTGCACTGGTTAAAGCACTTGACTGCTAACCAAAAGGTTGGTGGTTCGAACTCACCAGCCACTCTGTGGAAGAAAGATGTGGCAGTCTGCTTCTGTACACATTACAGCCGTGGAAACCCTATGGGGCAGTTCTACTCTGTTCTGCAGGTTTGCTATGAGTTGGAATTGACTCCCTGGCAGTGGGTTTTGTGAGCTGGAATCTTTACGGAAGGAGCCCCGGTGGTGCAATGAGTAAGTGTGTGGCTGGGTGAAAACAGCATGGGGGAGGTGTCTGACCTCCTCCAACCCCACAAGGGGGAAGGAGAACCAAGACCAAGAGCCCAAGGCTGATTCCCATGAGGTGGAGGTCAGGCTCGCCTTCCCTCTCTGCCATGTCTACCAATTCTGACACCAGCCGTCCCTCCCACAGCACTCTCTGCTGGGTTCGGTAATTCATTGCAATGGCCACACAGGACTCAACAGACCATACTCATGATTACGGGCTCTATTAGGGAAGTAACAGTTACAATTGAGGCTGAAGAACACTCAGGATACAGTTCTTCCCTCAGGACAGCCTCTTCCCAGCTGTGCTCAAAGGCATACCTCTCCCTGGCCCTAGGCCTCTGCCCAAAGGCACTCAGCTTTCTCTCTCCGGAAGCCCACCGCACTGTCTTCTGCTGCCACGTCTCTGCTGCTGGCCTCTCCTTCCTTGGTGGTGGTGGGTTCCTCTTCTCTGCTCTGGAATTGGCTCTTTTTTAAGGCAAAACTAACCAATCCCCTTGGTAGGCCACAGTTACCCTGTCACACCATTACCTGGGTGGGAGGTACAAGACGACGGCTAGAAAGGCCACACACGAAAGTAATGAATCACATCACAGACTGCTAACCAAGTGTCAGGCAATTCGAACCCACCAGCTGCTTTGTGGGAGAGAAAAGACCTGGGAAGACCTGGCTATCTACACCTGTGAAGATTACAACCTAGGAAATCTATGCGGCAGTTCTATCTTGCCCTATAGGATCGCTATGAGCCAGAATGGATTCAATGGCACACAACAACAATTTTCACAGCGGATTGCCAGGTCTTTTCTCCTTTCAGTTAGCACCAGAGCACTTAACCATTGCGCCACCAGGGCTCCTTCTCCTTCCATTCAGTCTCCCTGGATTCCCAATGCTGAACAGGCCTGACTGCAGAGTCACATAAAATCATGTCAGAGCACAAGTTAGCAGGGCTAGTACAGGTCAACTTGAAACAAACAGATCCAGAGTACTCAAGTTGCACCAAAGCTGCTTCATCAGAAAGCTCACATCAGCGTCATCTGCATCTGTCTCAAACACACCTTCCCTTTAGCGCACAGCCAGGGCTACCTCAGCCAGGATGGGATTTCCACAAACAGAGCCGGTCTCACGCGGCTCCCTTCATCACCAATTGTTTACAAAAACTGTGTAACGTACCTGCCTATATTCCAAAATGATCTTGGGTAATGGATGAAGGTCTTGCAGAACACTCAACTAAAAAAATGAAAATAAATATCACCAATACAATCCTTCATTTTAACACTTCACTTATGTTCAGCTGGAAAAAGTCCTAAGAATAAATGGTCTAAATAGAGCATATTTTTCAAAATTAAGATTCATCATAAGCTCTACTTATCAAGTGCTGTAATCCTTGTCCCTTCCAAAATAATTTTGTTGTCCACATAGGAGCTAAAGGCTCTTCACAGGAGCTTGGAAATAAGATTCTGTTTGAGATTAAAAAAAAAAAAAAAAAAAAAATCCGTTGCCATCGAATCAATTGGAGTCAATTCTGACTCATAGCAACCCTATAGGACAGAGTAGAACTGCCCCACGGGGTTTCCAAGAAGGGCCTGGTGCATTCAAACTGCCGACCTTTTGGTTAGCAGCCAAGCTCTTAACCACTATCTAACACCAGTGCATGTGAGTTGCCACATGGGGGAGTAAACTAAGAAAATGCCTACAAACATGCTTAGACTTGACCCAACATTTGAACCATGGTTGTCTGGGCATGATTTCATAGGTAGCAGTGGAATATGATTATGATTTTTTTTAATTTTCAAAAACTGAAATATACATACAGAAAAGCACAAGATCATAAAAACAGTTAGTTGAATTATTCTAAAGTTTGAACACAGTTGTGTGACCACCGCCCGGATTAAGCAGCCCTGTGCTCATTCCCCAGAGGTCACTGCCATCCTGACCTCTACCACCACACTTCATTTTCTGCTTTTGGACTCATATCAATGGACTCCCAGGGTACATACTCTTTACCTGTGGCTCCTTTTGCTCAACATTATGGTTTTAAGGTTCATCCCTGTTATTGCGTGAAGCAGTACTTCATTTATTTGTATGTATTGTATGAATACATCAAAATTATTTATCCATTCCACTGTTGATGGATATTTGGGTTGTTTCCAGTTTAGGGCTATTATGAATAGTACTGCTATGAACATTCTGGTACATAAATTGTGGTTAACATATGTACACCATTCTGTTGAATATATATGGAAAAAGACTGAAACCACTGGCTCAGTGTTAGAAGAGCGATAGCCAGAAAGATCTCCGAAGCCAATGTACCAGATTATCCACCCATCAGCGATGCATGAAAGTTCCTGTTGCTCCACATCTTCACCAATGCGTGGCATCATCAGTCTCAGTTTTAGAGATTTCATTTGTATTTCCCCAATGACTAATAAAGTTGGACACGACTCATATATTCACTGACCAACTGTGTACCTTCTTTTGTTAAGCCGCTGTTCATGACTTTTGCCCATTTAAAAAATTGGGTTGTCTGTCTTTTTCTTCTTGATTTGTAGGAATTCATTATTCTTGACAGAGACTTTTGGTCAGTTTTTGAAAATACCTTCTTTCTCTCTGTGGCTTACTTTTTCACTCATTTAAAGGTGTCTTTTCATGTTAATTTTATTGTTGTCCAATTTATCAATCTTTTCCTTTCTGGTTGGTGCATTTTGTGTCCTGTTTAAGAATTTTACCTATCTCGAAGTCTTGAAGATATTCTCTCATGGTATCTTCTACAATCTCTTGCTCTACTTAACATTTAGATATACAATTCATTTGGAATGTATTTTTGCATGTGGCGTGAAATAGTGGTCAAGATGTACTAACCCAGTATCAATTATGTAAAAAACCCTCCTTACTCATGCTTTGTCACAGAGCATGCATTTTATCTATGCATGTATAGATCTGTTTTGGATTCTCTATCCTGTTCCATTAGTCTATGTGTTTATCCTCAGTCAACACTTCATTGTATTGTTTAATTAATTCCTAGTAATTCTTATTGCTTTATAATTAGTCTTGATAGCCAATAGTGTGAGTCCTCCAATAGTGTTTTTTCTTCCCAGCTTATCTTGGCCCTTAGTTGTTTTTAGGAGACAGCTTGTCAATTTCTTTAAAAAAATCTAGCTCGGATTTTAATTATGATTATTTTGAATTGACATCAATTTGGAAGAGAACTGATTATGCGATTTTAATGTAATAGTATATCATGGGTTGAACTGTGTCCCCCCAAAATATGTGTCAGCTTGGCTAGGTCATAATTTCCAGTATTGTGTGGTTGTCCTCCATTTTGTTATCTGATGTAATTATCCTCCATTTTATGATGGGTTGAAAATCTTAACCTCTGTATGTTAATGAGGCAGGATTAGTGTGGGGTATATCTTGAGTCACGACCCTTACCCAAGTCACCACCCTTACTCAAGTCACACCCTTATTCGAGTCACCACCCTTCAGGACCTTACTCAAGTTTCACCCTTGTTTGAGTCACACCTTTTATCTTATAAGAGATAAAAGGAGAGACAAGCGAGCAGAGAGGGATAGGGACCTCACTACCACCAAGAAAGAAGAGCTGGGAGTGGAGCACATCCTTTGGATCTGGGGGCTCCCTGTGCTAGGAACCTCCTAGACCCAGGGAAAGATTGATGCCAAGACACATGAAGATCTCCAAGAAATGCTCGGTCCACAGATGTTGACAGAGAGAGAAAGAGTTCCCCTAGAGCTAGTGCCCTGAATTCAGACTTCTAGCCTCCTAAACTGTGAGAGAATAAATGTAGGTTTGTTAAAGCCATCCACTTGTGGTACTTCTGTTATAGCAGCACTAGATAACTAAGACATACTGCAAACTCATGAGCACTATCACTCCCTATTTGAATCAGCAGTGAGGACAAAAGCATCTTTGTCAACTACAGACACATACACAGGAGAGTCAACACTGGCATCCTCAGACATAGGGGCTGCCCAGCGGGGAGGAGTCTTGCTTCAGTATGATCCAGAATTGCAGTTTTCTTGGAAAAGCTATCCCTAGGGGGATGAAAGTGCATCAAAATACTTAGTCAAGAAAACTGTAAGATCAACTAACTTTCCTTATCCCAATTTCTTACTCAAGAAATAACTTTCTAATCAACAGCCTCCTGTATATCTTGACTTAAGCAGTCTGAGAACACTTGAAAAGAATTAAGTGTTTGATCAAATAAAACTTTGGACAAGGTATTACAAACGTTGGTTAACGATCAGAGGCACAGTACCGTAAGCTGGCTGCAGCTCCGCAGCTTTATCAAACACTCTCTTGTTGGCTCCCCGACACTGACACCATATTCTTCCCATCTCCCTTCTCAGTCTTTGGCCACTCTATGGTCTCCTGTTGGCGGCTCCTCTCACTCTGACCTCTAAATGTCAGCTTCTCAGGGTTCAGTTCGGGGTCCTCCTCTGTTCTCTAGCCACACTTCAGTCAGTGGTTATCAAGGCTGGCTGTGTACCAGAATCACTGAAGGAGCTTCAAAAGCCTGCCCGTTACTGGACTGCCCAGTCAGAGAGTCTACTCAGCGACTCAGCAATGGGCTCAGGCACCAGTGTTTTTCAAAGCTTCCAGGAGATTCTAATGTGCAGCCAGGCAACTTTCATCAAAATTAGCTGGCAACTTCCCAGTTTGTATCTGCAGCCTGAGACTTCCATTGAGCTCCACCCCCATGTACCCATCTGCCTGTGTGACTTCTCCACACCAATGTCTCATGAGCACTTCTATCTTTACACATCCAAGACTGAACGCTTGATCTTCCCCCCTAAGAAAACTCGTTCATCTCCCGGTTTTCCCTGAGCAATGGCCATCTCTACCGGCTCAGATGCAAACTCACCAACAAGGATTATCCTACATTCCTGACTTTTGTTCACACTCACATAAACGTATCAGGAAGTCCTTTCTGTTCTAAAAACTGCTCTGAAAATCCATCTACTTTGCTCCATCTACATGGCCATCAACTGAACTACTGTGACATCTGTCCCCAGATGACAGCGACACTTGTCCTCAGAACTACAGAGACACACACAACCCAAGACACCCATTACACCTGTTCTTAGACCACGGCAACACTCATCCCGGGACTACAATGACACTAATTCCTGGAGCACAGTGACACCCATCCCAGACTATAATGACACTGTCCCTGACTACAGTGATGACTGCCCCTGTCTACAGCAACACCTGTCCCCAGACCACAGTAACATGTCCCTGGACTACAGTGACATCCGACCTGGACTATAGTGACTCCCATCCCAGACTATGACACCACCCCTGACTACAGTGATGCTCGCCCTCCATCTACAACAATACACATCCATGGACTACAATGACTCTTCCCTGGACTACTGCAATAGCCTACTAGTGAGTCCATTCTCCTCCATTCTCTAACTAGCTACAAGAGCGGTCTTTAGAAAACTTATCTAAGATCACAGTTACTCCCTTAGTTAAACCCTTCCAACGCTACCCATTTTGCTTAAAATCTACAATCCTCACAGTGGCCGGAAAAGCACAGCTTGATTGAGTCTTTGCTCCCCTCTCAGCCCCATGGATTGCCCTTCTCCCTGCAGTCACAATGCTCAGCATCAGACACCTGAGCAGCCTGAGCCTCTTCCCACTTTAAGACCTTGTTCCCATTCTTTGCGTGCATAGTTCCTTATCTTCAAGTTTCAGTTTAAACATAATTTCTTCAGAGTTCTTTCCCCACTTGTCAATCTACAGTGTGTCCCTCTCCCTGTTATTTTTTTCACACCCTATTTTCTCTTTAATAAATCATATCCCAATTTGTAATTGTATGTTCATTGTCTTGTTTACATGTTTACAGTTTCTTCCCTTGCTGGAATATATGTTCTATTATGACAGGGGCCTTTTTCCCAATGAGCTACAAACAGTGCCTAGCACAGAGCCAAGTCCACAATAAATGTTTGTTGACTAAAATAGGAAAGACATCATATGTCATTCACGACTGTACCCTAAAAGCCCAGCATGATCCATGGCACACGTTAGATACTCAGTAGAGGGTGGTCATTACCATCATCACTATGGGATGCCCAATGGCACCACCTGGTGACATGTGCTGTTTCTGCTTGTCGTGATGTCTGAGACCCAGAAAAGATGGGTGGTTTGTCCAGGCTGCCTGAATGACTCTGTCAAAGAAATAGCCTGCGATCCAGCATCCCTGGTC